GGACGGGCTGCCCGGCCAAGGGGGGAGGGAAGGGGATGGGGAAGGGCGGTGGAAGGTATGCGCCGACACGCGCGAAACAGAGGCCGGCCGGGGCAGGCGGGTGACCGCCGTGCCCGGCCGAGGCCTCTGCGGTGCGGCCTGAGCATCGAAATGGGCACCTGCGCACCACGCTCCCTCTATCATCATCCTCATCATCGTCATGATCATGAGGAGGAGGTGGTGGTGGCGCCCAACACCTACACACGTGCGGCCTGTGATGCTGATAGAGCATTTCTCCAGCCTTCGCAACAACACTGAGAGAGAAAAGGCTGAGTCGTAGATGCTGATGTAGGTGCCCGGGCCCGTGCGGCCGCTGCGGCCGAGCCTCTGCAACTTAGACGCCTGCAGGTGCGTAAAGAGACACACACGCGCAGAGCGCCACAATCATCCCTTCTCCCTCGTACACATTGGTCACACGTACGGTCGACGTCCACTCGAGTGGGAGGTGCGAGGCGTTCGTGGGGTTGTAGTACCGGGCCGACCTGTGCTGCGGTGTGTCTATCACATGTGTCAGCCCCTGACGCACGCACACACAACACCCAAGGAGGAAAAACGCACACGTGTGTGTATTGTATGTACGCACGCACACGCGCACACACACAGACGTATACCCGTCACCACACACGTCTATCGTTATGGACGACTCTGCTACGTCGGTGCACACATAGACGTCCCACTTCCCTGCAGAAACACACACACACACACACACACGCACATACACAAACACACAAGTCCGCACGGACGGACAGAGGGAGTCAGGACAGACACACGCGCACACGTAGCACACTTCTCTCACCAGGCACAGTTGCGTTGAGGGCTTCATCCTCCTCGTGTGACATCCCCGAGTAGAGCACCTTTACATTGCACCACTCCTTGGTGTCGTCGCCGAGCTTGCTAGCCGTCGCAAACACCTCCCCCGTGCCTGCAACACGGCATGCACAACACACAACACACATACGCACACGCATGCACGCACGCAGCGCGAGGGCAGCCAGGCCGGACTGACCGGGCAAGAATATCAGTATCTTCTTGGGCGTCCAACTCGTGTTGGTGTCGTACGTCCACTCTGCAGCCATGGATACACAGTGTGCGCAGATGCATTCTTTCGACAAATGCCAGACATCATTTGGCGAGTATGTCGGCCTCGGCAGAGAGGACGAGCGGCTTGGCGTCGTTCTTCTGGAAGTACCCGTTGTTCTCCAAATCGAACCCTGTCGGGCTTGGGCAGCGTGCTGACCTGCAAGCATTCACTCGGTTGATTAATCCGGTGCGCATGTGCGTGCCCTCCCCTTGTTATGCACGTACGTCGATATTGTTGAGTTTACACAAGTAGGAGAAGATTCTGGGAGAGGTGCAAGCACACACCACACAACGCAGGCAGTGAACCGACCAGGCAGTCACATCGAAGAGGCGTACTTTGATATGAACGGAGTCCCGTCTCGAGCACAGTGTTGAGATAGAACTCCTCCACCGTACGACGGGGGATGAGATTATCGGGGACGTCAACGTACCTGCACGCACGCGCACACACAAACACGCACATGTCTGCCCGCGTGTGTGCGAGTGTCATCCCTACTGACGCCGTGCTGATGTGGGCGTCGGAGAAGTAGCTCAGGAACTTGGCTGGGCAGAACGAGGAACAAGGGATAGTCGAGGCTCATCACGGGTTCTGCATAGTTGTGTGTCGTGTGAAGGTGCCCACCAGGGTCTACGGTGGCTGACATCAGCACCACCTTGATATGCGGGTTGGCACGCACGAGCTGTCTCACCCTCGCCTGGCACATAACATGCACACGTGCTTGGTCATCTATCTGTTAGCCACCGTGCGGTAATTTACCATTACTATTTCGGTGTCGGCGTCGTGAAGTGGCGAAGGCCCCCGCCCTTTGCAAATGCAGCGCAAGCCCTGCGTGGCATCCATACGCATGCACGCACACATATACAAGACGCTCGTGTGCAGGCCTGCTTCCTCCCTCGCCATCCGGATGCATGTACGTGTGTGTGCGTGTCTCGTGAGCGGCGGACCTTTTGTCACGAACATGATGGGTCTGTTGTATGGCATGGGCGTCCTTTGGTGGCCACGATAGGTGACGTGATCCCCCAGCTCTCCGCTGCCCAGCTTCACAACGCCGCACTCCTTAGCCACCCGCCTGGTAGAACCATCACACATACATACACACATTCACATACGCGTACACACGCACTCTTGTGCTCTTTCTTACTCAGACACATTGGTGACAGCCAGTCGACGGGGCTGGACCGCCAGCACTCTGTCGTGGTCCTTTAATGATGGCCACCTGTTCATGAAAGGAATCAGGCCACACGGAACGGAAACACACACATATTGACTGGACACAGCTGAGTTTGTGTGTGCGTACCCGTGACGACTTGCCCGAGCCCGTCCGCCCCTGCACGAGAACGCACCCGCTCTGGCTGCGTTTGAGATGTACTCCTGCCCACATGGGAGAGAACCACACACATGTACGTGAGTACATATTCATCATGCGTCCAGCCGTCCGCCCGCCCGCTGCATACCTCTATGACATCGGGGCTGGAGACCGGCAGCGGCGGGAGCAGCGCTAGGCGAGCGCCCACTGCGGCGGCTGCGATAAGGTGTGGGCCACCAGCCCGCTTTTCCAACTCTGTTGGCTGTGTGCTGCCGCTACCGTCGGGTGTGATGGGCGAGACTAGGGGTGCTGACGGCATGGAGGAGCACTGACTGGCCGGCTGGCTGGGCGTCCGCGGCGGGGTGCGTGGCGCCTCCTCTTGTTGCTGGTGCTGTGGCTGGGGCGGGGGCTGCTCCACATCATGTCTTGCACGGTGCATTAAGGACTGACTGAGTGCCCGCCCTTTTACGTACCTCGTTGATGTAGCCGCACCTGTCGAGCGCACGGACGCACAGACAGACAGACAGACAGACGACAGACAGACAGGCAAAGACACAGATGGACAGAGGTAATGTGTATCCGTATATGTGAGTGTTGAGGGAGTGAGGGGGGTTGCGGGCACGCCAACGATCACCTACCTGTCGTTCATGATGCTGTGCCACTGGGTCGAGAGGATGGCGGCGGCCCGCAGTGCCAACTCAGCACATCGACACGCACGACACCTGCGGGCAGGCAGCCAGGCCACAATATCTTATAAATGAGAGATGCTCAGCTCAGAGTGCACGTGTCTGTCTGTCTGAACCCACCCACCCACACCCCTACGCATGACGACTAGTTTGGCCAGGTCGGGCTCAGTCGGCAGGTTCCATGCGATCTGCGTCCGTCGGCAGGGCACAAGACAAGACAAGACAAGACAAGACAGGCGTCCGTAGTAGCTTGGTGCGCACTGCACTAGACTCGCCCGCTCACCTCAGCCATGATAGTGGGCATCAGGTCGTCTCCAGGGCGCAGTCCATCCATAAGGAACCCTGCACATACACACATGCACACACACACCACAACACCGGTAATCGAGCACTTGACTCATGACGAGCCACCCATCCTTTGTTTTAACCACTTTTCGGCCGTCTCGACGTTTTCCTTGGGCGGCTTACTCAACGTCTCCTCTGTCAGGAAGTGGCGTGGGTCTTCGCTCATGCTTAGCGCCTTGAGAACGTACTGAGCACATACATGCGCATCCGCCAAACGAGCGACGGTCAAGTATACACACATGGATTCCTTCCCACTCACCGCCTCCAGGCAGCACCGGAGCAGCTCTGGCGTGGTGTATGGCTCAAATGTGTCCGCAAACCTTTGCATCCAGCGCATCAACAGACCAGGAACGAACAAACCGTGCTAAAATGTGCGGATGTACTTACCTTTGGCTGCCTCCGCTGACGCTCCCTGCTGCCGCTTCCTCGCCCTCTCCTTCAGAAACGACAGCGCCTCGGCCGTCTTCTGGGCGGTCTTGCTCAGCGCTGCGGCTGAAGGACAACACAAAGCAAGACACAAAGACACCAACCAAAGGTGTGTGGGTATGGGTGTGCTGAGGGATCAGTAAAGCTGTCTGTCTCTCACCGCTGCTGGCCGGTATGTCCTCGTCGTCGGCCTCGTCGTCTTGTGGCGGTGGCTCCTGCTGCGGAGTGGTGCGGGTGGCGTCGGGCAGCATCGCTGAGCAGGCAGAAGAAACACGGCAGGCAGGCAGGCACACAGCTTTCAGAAGCCTCTCGTTGTGTTCCTCTCCCTCACGAGGCCCCAAACCCTAACCCTACACCCAAAACCCTAAACCCCAAACCCTAAGCCCCTAACCCTAAACCCCAAACCCTAATCCCCAAACCCTAAGCCCTAAACCCTGAGCGTAGGAACGTGGAAGCCATTGCCCAGCTATGATATATCTACTTACATAGCACACATCTCAATCGACATATCCATACGTTTGACTTACCCGTTTCGTAGAATTTCGTCAAATCTGACTCTCTAGGTCGGAGTCACCATCGTCGTCGGCCTGCCGGCTGGGGATGGTGGTCGTGGCAGCCGGTAGCAAGGCATGTGCGGCCAGTGGCAGCCTCATAGGACCTGGAATTGTCGTCTGAACAGCTGGAATGTGCACGTCGTCTAAACGAAGACGTGCAAGACAGCAAAAAACATGCGAACAAACGGGAGGGCATAAAAGGCAGACTGAATTTCTGACACATTGCACGTGATTCCCTTTGTTTCTTTGATGTGCCTCCCTCCTCGTTGTCCTTGCATTGAAGCTTCCCGACCTGCTGCAAATCACTGTGACACTATGACAGCGATGATTTTGATTAAATCAGCTCACTACGCTCTGTCTTCACTTTTCCTTTCTTCGAACCAAGAGCTGGCGATTCTGAACAGCAGCAGACAGGGAATGTGATGCGCATGCGAACACTAGACTCAGCGCGGCACTTACCAACCTACAGACAAACGCGTCGAGAAAAGGAGACGGGGAAGGGAACAAAATGGAGAAATCACCATTTCATCTGCACACACAGACATGACAAAGGGCGGCATATGAGCACACCCATGGCAGCGAAATGCACCATGTTTTAATTCCTACACATCATCCAGACACCACACCATCAAGAGCCATCACGCGCGAGGGCACTCACATACTCACCTGTTGGAGACGGCTTATGCGAGGAGAAGGTGCGTGCGCACTCTGCAGGCACCAGGCAGTCGCGAGCAGCCCCGCAGAAGGCAGGGCACCCAGGTGAGGCCTCGCCGCGGGGCACGGCGTCGTAGGAAAAAAGTGGCGGATGAAATCCGGACGAGTTGGGAGGGGTAGAGGGAGATGCGGCGGACAAAACAAGCCAAAAAGCAGATGAAAAGAAGAAGAAGCGGAGGATCTGTGGCTGAAAAAAGGCTGAAAAGCCTGACGCGGACGAAAGATGTGAAAAATGGATACCGAAATTTGTAAATCAGGGTTTGCGGGGTTTGGCCGTCTCGCGAAATCTCGCCGCGATGTTTGATCCATACGATGACGGCCCATCGCAGCCTGATGCAGCAGCCGGAGGAGGCGGCGCAGCGCCCTTCAGTGCAAATGTATCTGGTCCGCCCGACCAAGATGGTTCGGCGGCGTTGCTCTTCTCCTCTCATCGCGAGGCTTTCTCTCGCTACTTCACATCCAATCCTGACCGCGAGTGGCACATCAAGGAGCTGCTGCGAGTCGTAGACACCGGGCGCAGCTTCAGCCTGACTGTGGACGCCACAGAGCTGCTGGACGAGTTCCCCGCTCTCGGCAGTGCATTCCTCAAGTCCGCTCAGGAGGTTCTGCCCTTCCTGCAGGATGACGTGTTGCCCGAACTGCAGCGCCAGTATGCTGAGGCTCTCGGCGGCACCGGCGCAGTGCCCAAGATGGTCAAGCCGCGCGTCAAGATCCGCCCTGAGGGGATCCCGCCATGCACTTCCATGAGGAAGGAGAGCGTCAGGTGGGTGGAGCTCCACAATTAACACACGAAAGCAGCACAGCCGACAGCCTTGTCTGGTGCTTTCATTTGTGGGTGTGGCGGTCAGTGCGATCCGCAATGACGAGATCAACACGTTGGTGTCGTTCACAGGGACGGTGGTCCGCGCGGGGCCCGTCAAGGCGCTCGAGGAGTGGCGTGTGTTTGCGTGTGTGCGGTGTGGGCACCAGTTCCGGATGGTGGCCATTCCCGAGCTGTCGTTCCGCATGGACAAGCCGTCGGTGTGCCCTCGGGCTCCCAGGCAGGTCAACAAGCCCACGCAGGACAAGAAGTCCAAGAAGTGGTTCACCGTCAAGGCCACGGAGCGATGCGACGGCAGCCACTTCCGGGTGGTCGAGCCGCACGAGTTGCAGGCGGAATCACACCCGGCGGCCATCACCGATGTGCAGGAAATCCGGTACTGCACCGCACACATCACATCCACACACGCATCCTGTCATTGGTCTTTGTGTTGTGGTCAGTGTGCAGGAGAGCGTCGAGAACCTGAAGGGCGGCGTGATTCCCCGTGTGATGCCTGTGATAGTCAAGGACGACTTGGTGGCCCGCGTGCAGCCCGGCGACAAGGCGGAGGTGGTCGGATTCGTCAGACGCCGATGGAGGCCTTTCAAGAAAGACCAGAGGTCACACATAACAAAGAGCCAGCCCGACTTTCTTCCTGCGACACACACTTTGTTGTCGTGTGCCTGTCAGGTGTGAGGGTGAGTTCTTCTTAGAGGCTGTCAATGTCATCCCCAAGATGCGCGAGAACATACCCCCACACCTCACCCTCGCACAATCACACCGACCAGACAGCAGCAGCAGCCAGACCACCGGCAGCCAGGCCGCTGGCGAGCCCCCCGCCCCACTGACTAGTGTCGGCCGCATCCAGGAGTTCCAACGCTTCTGGCAGAGGCGTCGCGGGGACGAGTTTGCGGCGAGACGTGAGATACTCGATGGGGTGTGTCCGACTTTGATGGGGCTGCACGTGGCGAAGCTCTCTCTACTGCTCACACTAATAGGTACACACATCCATCGGCAGACGGAGGGAGGGAGGGGTGGAATATCGGCGTAAGCATGTCAATCTGTCTGTTTGCAGGCGGCTGCACGATGGAGGAGGCGGCCAAGTCGACCGACGAAGGCCGCCGCTGGGCCCACTTTCGCTCTTCCCACAGCCCCCCTGCCAAGAAGGCGCTCCAGGACGGCGACCAAGTCGCCCCTGACGAGCCGATGGCTGACGCGCAGGAGATGCCTGCCCAGCCTCACCGCCAGCAGCAGCAGCAGCAGCAGGGGAGGCAGGTGGGAGGGGGCGGCAGTGTGGGCAGATGCGACTGCCACATGCTCATGGTGAGAATGTGGTTGGGCGAGACCAACATGGGTGCGTTCACACATGACCACCGTATGTGTCTGTTTACAGGTGGGTGATCCGGGTACGGGCAAGTCTCAGCTGCTCAAGAAGGCCGCAGAGCTCAGCTATCGCTCCGTCCAGACCACAGGTAGATAACAACACCGATAAATCAATGGATGCATGGATGGATGGATGGATGGATATCACCCACAGCCATTTTTCTGTCTGCTGGCACATCGCATCAGGTCTGGGGTGCACGGCTGCCGGTTTGACGTTCACGTGTGTGCGTGAGGGTGCTGACTTCATGCTGGAGGCGGGTGCTCTGGTTTTAGCCGACGGGGGCGTGTGCTGCATTGACGAGTTCTCGTGCATCAAGAAGGACGAGAGCGCCGCCATACACGAGGCACTCGAACAGCAATCCATCAGCGTAGCCAAGGTGAGTCAGTGAGCAGAGACGGGCAGCGGGAGCACGACACACAATGGATGAGGAGGGAGAGGAGGGTTCCACATGCATATATCGCTGTTGTAGGCCGGTATCAACACGCGGCTCAACACGCGGTGCTCAGTAGTGGCCGCGTGCAACGTCAAGAACGGCTCGTACAACGCCGGTCCGATGACGCCCCTCAACACGAGCCTGGGGCTGCCCCTGCTCACCCGCTTTGACACCGTCGTGGTCTTCATCGACGCATTCGACGCCAAACAAGACGCCGCCACCGCAGACTTCATCCTGTCTAAGGTACGGTACCTGTTGCACTGAAGGATTGCATACGCACATACTCCCTTTTGTTCTCCCAGGTGATGGCAGATCCCTCTGCGGCCTTCAAGCACGGCACCGCCCCGCCCCGCCCGCCTCACTTCTGGACCACCGACAGGCTGCGCGACTATATTGCGCACGTCAAGTCGTCCCTCGCACCCACACTCAGCAAGGCGGCCGGCGTGCTGCTCGAGACATACTTCGTAGAGCTCAAGCGCAAGGCGGGGCCAATCGACGGGGCCGCAGTCACGGTGCGACCTCACCGCAACACACAAGACATCACACCAAGTTGTACCTCTGTTTCTGGTGTCATTGGGTGCACTGTGTGTCAGGTGCGCATGTTAGAGTCGCTGATCCGTCTGACGCAGGCGCACGCACGGCTGCTGCACCGGGAGGTGGCGGAGCTGAGGGACGCCGTGGCCACCGTCCTCATGATGGAAAAGGCGCTCAACGGCAGACAGGTGGGCACACACGCACACAGCGCCCCAGTCCCCATGTCTCCCGCCTCTCTGCGTATGTGGGTGCAGGTCTGTGCGGCCGTGTCTCGCAGCGCCGACGCGCCTGCCCGCACCGGTATGCTCGGCGAGCTCGCTGCCTTCGACAGCGAGGCCGCGGGCCCCAACGCCCGCAGCACCATCCTCTCCAGAGCCACCGAGGACGCCGCCACGGCCAGCGAGCTGCACTTCGACATCAAGAGCATCCGCGAGTACGCCCACTACGAGCGGCAGGTCCTCAAGAGCCTCATGCTGCGCAAGACGCCAGATGGGCAGCTGAAGAGCATGGTGGACAACGGCAGACTGCAGCCAGACGATGACCACGGCGATCCAGACGAGGGTCCCTTTGCGACGCCGGTGGGGCCACCTGGTGACCTCAATGGCCTGCACCAGAGCACCACTGGCGGGCCCCCTGCCGACGACGATGGGGACCTCGATGATCTGCTGGACGACCTGAATGACTTCAGCTACAACCCTCCGGCCGCCTCGGCGCCCATTCGTCCACCGAATTTCGCGACCAATGACGCTCAGGAGTGCAGGCCCCTGTGGAGTGCGAGACCGGGTGTGGTGAGAAGGCCGCCGGTGAGGCGGGATGGCCAGTGGCTCGGGGTGAAGGAACGGGAAATGGGCTGAAGCGGTGGATGGATGGATGGATGGATGGATATGGGTGTGATGAGGGAGAGTTGGATGAATAAATGGGATGGCTTCATGCTATATTGGCCACGAATCGTCACAAGTACTTTACACGCGATTCATTCTGTCCACCCGCGTCTTTGACCCTTCTCCCCCTCCCCAGGGCCCCCTCGCCACACACAGCACCCTCGACAGCCCGCCACAAACGCGGCATCCCCACGGCCAGTATCCACACAGGAAAATACAGCCCCACCAGCCCAAACACCAACCCGCCCACAGACTCCTCGTAAGTATGAAACGACCTCACTGTCTGGAAGCCGAGGTAGCACAGAACAGCCGTTGTGAGCATTGTGTACACGAGGCTGACCACAGAGAGCACCACCCCACCACCGCCCCTCTTCTCGCAATCCAAGGCGGCTTGGTTGAAGGCGACTAGCATCAGGGCCATGAGGTAGAGAACGAGGTGGTCGGAGAAGTCGTAGCTGCCGCCGTAGTGCAGGTGCAGGAACTCCTGCAGCTGGAGGGGCACCCAGTAGAGCAGCACAGCTCTATACACCATCACCACAACCGACAGCAGTAGCCGATTCCTGTTGGCGGCAGAGAAGCCCCGACAGAGCAGCAGGGGCAGCAATGGTGGCACCAGCAGCACCAGGTGGAACAGCAGCGGCGAGTAGGTCAGCCTCTGCAGTGGCCGGCGGAAGGGATAGCACGGCACACTCAGGTCCAGTGGTCCCTCGTCAGAGCACCTCTGGAAATCAGGCAGGGCGGGCAGATACGCCGGTGTGCCGCTGATCCCGGCGCTCTCTCCACCCTCCTCACCCTCCACAGTCACGCTGCTGGCTTCCATTATGAGTGGCGGAGGCGGCAGGTCGGGAGGCGGGTGCACACGGAAGAATGCGACCTCCCCAGGGTGAAGGGGAGCGGCAACGGGGTATCGGTGGATGGAGAATTTGCCCCTGTTGAAGCGCCAGCCGGCGTAGACGCACGCGCTGAAGGCCAGAAGGGTCATGAGCTGCCATCGCAAGAGAACAGTCCGGAAGGACGGATCTTGTGACGCCATCAGCTGACGATGGACAAACCTTGGTCCGGTCTTCACACAAGCCTTTCAAAAGCCTTGCTAAAAGCCTTTGAGAGGAAGATCATTGCGAGCTTGCAAGCGGTCGCCACAGAGCAAGAACTGAGCAGCAGAAACACAAAGCACAACGTGCCAGGAAGCCGACAGCATCGCAGATCTGTGCCTTCATCATCCATCAATGCTGTCGACAAGCCGCGACGCACCTGTATCTGTCGTGAGGACGCCTGCCGCCTCTCCGCCATCGGCACCCTCGTCATGCCTACCACAACGAACAGCAAGGCTGCACTCACGCCGTTGTCAGAGATCTTCCCTTTGGCGGCATCAACCATCTCGCATTGTCGCGGCAGCTGCTGTGGTGCTCTCGTCTTGGTGTATGGCCGCCGTCTGCAGTGCTGCATCCACAGCCGGCACGCTGACGGCAGGGAGGAGGGTGGAGCTGACCCCCCAGTCGCCCTTTTTTCATCAGTTCTGCGAGGCCCTCAAGGCGGGTGCGCTGCGGCAGGTCAACGCGGGGTCGGATTTCGTCCGCAACCTGGGCAGGAGGGCAGCGCGTGAGGGGTCTCAGCAGCGGCTTCGCTCGATGCTCAAGTCGGTGCCGGCCTACACGGTGGTCAACGAGCTGGACGAGATGATCATGTCCTACCCGCCCTCCTCGCACGGCGCCCCGGTGGGGCTGTTCTTCCTCAACAAACGGGACGCAAACCTCTTCCTCGAAGACGTACAGGTGAGGAGGGAGCACCAGCTCGGCAGATTTTTGAGATCTCTCTCCTCGGCTGCATGCATTGATTATCATGTCGATGTGGCGATGTGTGTTCAGACAAAGGATCCCGAAACGAGTCGCGAGGTCGGCCTGTCGCTGCGCACCTCCTCCCTCGCCCACTACTACGCCCTCTCGCGGCAGCGTGCAAGGTCAGCGGCGCATTTCTACCTGGTCCCCGACCTGCAGGAGGTGCAGAAGGCCGTCAGCCAGTCGCCCAGCGGCCGGTTCGAGGGCACCCCCATCTACTACCTTGACCTCGTCCCTGCGAGGGACCCAGACGACCGCCGGCAGCGGTGCCTCTACATGCTCACGCTGCCCAAGTCGAAGGGGGGCGGCGGCAAGGACAGTGGCTCCAACAGGCCGGTGTTCTTCACCAATAGGGATGCTCTCAACACCTGGCGGACATTTAGGCGGCGGCACGCTTCGCTGGGGCTGCCGAGAAGGCCCAAGGTGCGTGTGGCGTCTCTCGAGCGGATGTTGCGCGACCTGGAGGAGCGGCGTGCGAGCGAGGTGGGCGACTGGCTGTTTGTGCCGGCGTATGAGGCCTACAGGGACGTGCAGCTGAACCCGCCGAGGAGCAGCGGGGGGATGAGCGGTGCCAAGAGGTGGCTGCAGAAGTTCCGGAGAGACCTGAAGGCCATCGTGGGTCAAGGGCCGCCCATTGGCAACCAGGTGCCGTTCAGATGAGACCACTGTGGGGGTGGGGCTGAGCATGTGATATGGTGTCCGGGTGCGGTGGATGGATGGAGAGAGAGAGTAGGTCTATGTGTGTTGTCAGTTGTTAGTTTGTGTGCCCTTTTTGGTTGGTTGAGAGTGAGGTGTTTTAACGGTGCGACAAGAGGGATTTTTGATGGGGACTGGGTGGACTGACTGACTCACGGCTGACGTGAAACATCACGAAAATTACCTGTCATCGCATCCAGCCGCCCAAGCCGGTCGGTTTACTCACCTACTCGCCACCTCTGTCTGTCTGTCTGTCTGTCTCCCTCTAATGTACCGGTTGATCGGTCCATACCATACATCCCTCCACACATCCATCCTGCCTCTTTGTCTCTTTCCCCCTCCCTCCCTCCCTCTCCACCTGTCTGCCTGTTCTGTACACTGTAGCAGAAATACTCTCGTAGACCGGTCAGGCTGTGCTGTAGGTCGCTGTCGAATCGCCTTGCCTCACAAATCACGAAAGGCAAAAAGGGTAAGGGTTCCAGTCAGTCAGTGTCAAGCGAATGTGTCAGCGTGCCAGCCAGTCAGTCCCTGAATTAACGTCACAACCATGAGACCATCCATCCATCCATACACACACACACACACAGGCAGGCAGGCAGGCAGCGGACGCAGCCGGTCTCTCCTCCCCTCTGTGTGCGTATTGTGTTGTCAGCGTGTGTCGAAAAAACATACAGTGTGTGTGTCCTGTCCGCCCGGCAGGCAGTCTATCAGTCGATTGTACAGGCCACCATCCATCCATCCATCCATCGTGTATTGAACAGAAATCACCACTCACCACACACCACATCAGAAGGGCGGCCAGGCGAGGAAAACCTCTCACGGAGGAACAGACGGACAGGCAGGCGGGCAGGAAGGCAGGCCATCTACGCGTAGATACTCAGGCAGGCAGTGTTATCTCCTCTCCTCCAGCCGTCAGCCGTCACCGGGTGGTCATATCGGGCTGATTCTGCTCTCAGTGTTGGCGCCTTCCGCACCCGAATATCTTCATCAGCCAGCCCCCTGTCGTCCTGATATCACACGCACACACACACACGCCACCTCATTCATGTGTGTGTGGTGGGTTCGTCCATGTGGGTGTGGGTGTGTACCTATTAGCGGCTTCCTCGGCTTCCGCCTCCTCGTCCATGTGTGCCTCGCCTCCCGCCTGCTCCATGTCCTCGTCCTCGTCGTGCCCCATGACGCCGCCCTCGGCAGCCGCCGCCGCCGCCGCCCCACTGCTGGCCGCACGGCGACCGCGGGACCCCGCCGCCTTCTTCTTCGGACTCGACTTGGCCTTGCCCTTGGGCCTACCCTTGGCTGATACACACAGAGGGAGGGAGGGAGGGAGGGAGAGAGGGAGACGGTTGAGGAAATATTCGTGCTGTCAGTCTGGTTGTGTGTGGATGTGTGTGTTGCCTTTGGGTTTGGCTGCTGCCTTTCCCTTGGCTTTCGCCTTGCCCTTGGGGGCAGCAATGCGACTAGAACCTGACAGACACCACACACAGGGGGAGGGAGGAAGAAGGTGTAAGACACCCCTGTGACGTGCGACCTGCTTCAATGAGAGCTGCATCCCCACCTGTAGTTTTCTTCTGCGCAGTCTTGGTGATCCCCGTCTTCTTCACCCCCTTGCCCTGCACCACCAACTCAGGCTCCTCATCTGACATCACAACACAACACACAAGCGAGCCATCCCTGAGTGAGCAATGGCTTTCGGGAGCCCCTTCTGCCCCAGTGCCTCTCCGCGAGCCGCCCGTGTGTGCATGCAGTGGTCTGCCCTCGTGTCTGATGTCTGATACCATCTTCTAGTTTGCGAGGCGGCTTGACCTTCCTCTTGGCGGGCAGGCCCTTCTTCGCCATCACGGTAGTACGACAACAACGCCTTCAACAACGATATGGCAGCCACCCAGCGACACTGAGAGACGGACAGGCCCACACGCATCAAAGCCGTGTCGGCGAGCGCTCTTGTGGCGGCTTCTTGCTCACCGTGGGCACTGCTGCGTCTGGCTTACGCAAAATATCGCTACCTTGGCCTTTTCCCCCCTCCCCCTTTCAAAGCTCGCAAATCGACCCAGCGAAGGATTGCCTTTTCTGGACCTGGACCTCCTTTGTCACCTACATCCTCAGCAGCACCTCACCATGCGTGCCCTCGTGCTCGGTTTGTTCGCTGCCTCACTCCTGGCGAGTGCCGTGGCCTTCATCTCTGAAGAGGACATCAATGAGCTGGTGAGACGGCGGCACACGCACCACCTGCAGATGCCCATCGAGGTGGTCATGCTGTGCGTGTGTGTGTGTGTCAGACGTCTGTGTACGGCCACGAGGATGTGCACCGCGGCTTGAGCATGGAGGATGAGCCCATCCCTTTCGGCGCTGCATCGCCCGAGTGCAAGGTGAGCACTCAATCACCCGGACACACACAAACGTGGGAAGGCCTGCCTGCTTTGGGAGGGAGGGAGACGCGCTTTTGTGTGTGATTGTGGTTTGTTGGTTGTGTGATGTCATTCATCGTTCAGGAGTGCGTCAAGAACGGCACCAAGTGGGTTATCGAGCACGCCGCGCGCAGGTTCGTCGAGAAGTGCAAGACCACCGAAAACCCCAAGTTCAAGAAGATCTGCGAGAAGGCCAAACAGCACAAAGGTACCCACACACACAATATATGTCCACACAGACGTGTCTCGCCCGCCCCGCTCATCGGCTGTCCCTCTGTGTGATGTGTGCAGCTGTGGCGTTGGGTGCGCTGATCTACAAGGTCAGGCCCATCAGTCTGGCCTTCGCTTACTGTGCCGGCAAGGGCCCGTGCGCCAGCCCCGAGGAGGAGACCGACGCCACCATGGAGAGCAGCGTCATGGCTCTCGACATGGACCAGCTCATCACCGTATGGCACACACACACACACACACAGAGTCACATCGACACACCGACTCAGTTAGCTAGATGGTGTGGTGTGTGGGTGTGCAGACTTTGGAGAAGGAGTTCAACATCGATGAGAACGAGGACGAGCCCGAGGAGGTCGAGGACAAGGAGGGATGCCACTGCGACTGCGATTGCTCCAACGGATGCAGTTGCCCCGGCTGCCACTGCAAGGCCGAACCAGTGCCTTACCACGGTGAGAGAGAAGGGGAAAAAGGGAAAGAATCGAATCATCCACTCACACACCCCACCCCACCATACACACGTACACACGATTAGGGTTGCCTCTCCTCTCTGTGTGCGTGTCAGTGTTCACTCACCTTGGCGAGGCTGCTGAGGCGGCTGACGATGAGGGCGACGACGCCCACTGCCCCATGATGACGCACGACGAGCTGCACCAGGAGTACCGCGACAGCATGGCCCAGGAGGATAAGGACGACTGCACCGACGAGGAGGACACGGGCGTATCCCTCCGCCGCGGACGCCACCGTGGCCGCGGACCCAGGTACGTCTGGCTGTCACGGGGCAGTGTCCGTCCATTGAATGCCATTCGCTGACTGTCTCTGTCTGTGTGTGTGTCAGCTGCGTGTGCAAGTACTGCGTCAAGAAGACCGCGATGCGCGTCATGAAGAAGGTGGTGCGTCGCGTGGTGCGGTTCTGCGAGGGGACGGACAAGCCGATGGCCAAGAAGGCTTGCCAGGCCGCCAAGGACCACCCCAAGGTCGCATTCGGCTATTTGCTCGCGAAGGTGAGTCAGTCAGTCAGTCAATCCACACACACCTGCCTACCTGCCTTCATAGAGAGAGACAGAGACAACTGGTGGCGGTGTGTGTGTGTGTGGTGTCTGTGACGTGATGTGATTTTAGGTGGAGCCTTGGAAGTTCGCCGTGGGTTTCTGCAAGGGGCTGGGTGTGTGTGGCAACCCTTTCGGCCGCCCCCCCCACCACCACCACCCCTACGGCACAGACAGCAGCGAGAACAACGAGGAGCTGGCCGTGGCCTAAGCAACGAGCCTCTCTTTTTCTTACCTGCGCTGCCCACACACATGCACACATTCACAAGCACGCCATTACTAGTCAGGTTGTAGTAAGCACGGGGGAGTGAGTGAGTGAGGGAGAGGGGAGAGAGAGGGGCTGCGTGGTATTTCTTGTAGTGGGCTCTGCGTGGCTGGGTGGCTGGCCGGGTCAGGGGGCGCTTCGTACGTGCGTATGTGATGGTTTTTGGTGGGCTGGCCGGCGGGGGGGAGGGGCATGGGGGAGGGGAGGGGGGTCGTCTATCGTCATGATGGCTGCCCTCCGTGTCGGGCTGCTCGCTGATATGTACCGATTGTTTGGTGCCTGCCTGCCTGCCTTTTCCCGTCTGCGTATCTATCTTGGTAGTTTTTTCCGGTCAGACGAATGAAGCGCATGAGGAGCGAGCACCCGAGAGACAAGGAGCTTTACACGAGGGAGGCGGGCATTTAGCAAGCCTGATTCTTGTAGTGTCCAATCGTGCGTACGTATGTTGAGAGTGCGACAGGTGCGGAGATCGATGGGTTGTTTGTGAACCGCAGCAAAGCTAGACGGACGGACGGACGGACTTGTTTGTGGATCGATCGATGGATGGGTGTATGTGGTGGGGTATGTGGTGGGCTTCGGGGAGCACACGAGAAAGGGGGCGGGGAGCACAAACACAGAGAGGTAGGGGTGTGTGGATGGATGGATTGAAGTCCTGCCTCGATTGTCTGAGACGGTCTGACTGTTGGCCTTAAGAAAGGCAAGAAGGTCGTGGAAGAAGAGCCTTTTCACTCTTCTTTGCATGATGTTGTTGCCTTTTTCGAGGCCAACGACCTGGCCGATGCGGGACTGCCATATTCCTACACCTATGCGTGTAAAGGGGGGCTCTTTGTTGTTTTTTATGCACACGCACCTTCACACGAACCAGACAGACTCTTGTCACTCACATGAAAGCGCATCGAGAAAGGACAATGATCGGTCGCGAAATGGGTGGTTGATGCAATGTGGTGGTCCCTCACGCACGCCCCATCGGTTCATCCATCCACCCCCGCCTGCTTTGACTGTGTGGCGCCACCTCGGCTAAATCGTCTCACCTGACCAGTGGGCTGACTTCGATGGTGGACATGGGAGGCCCTCTGAAGCCAGGAACGCTGTAGGGGTTGGTCTTCCGCTCCCATTGCTTCATGAACACAATAGACAGACACGCCCATATAACGACCATCCACCCTGCCTTCGCTCTTCCGTCTCTGTCTCCCCGGCTGACCTTCTCCAGTTCCCGCTGTTGGTCGCCTCGTCTCTTCGTCCACCACCGCAAGCCAAGCATACCCACTGACACCATCCATCAACCACACCACACACGCGACATCCCATCGATCAGCTGCCTCATCTCATGTGTCTGTCCCCTTGTGCAGGGCGCCGCCGTGGCTCACCTAGCACGAGCAGTGTGACAGAGCCCCCAACGAGGAATAACCAGTCGAAGACGGTCAAAGCGCCGCCAGTGAGGATGCCGGAGGCGAACGCCTGGCCCTGGCACTGGTTGCTGTCCGACCGCCGCACTAGCTGGTACCCCTCGGCACACTCCTCACAGGCATTGTTCGGGCATACCGCGCAATTGTCTTCGGAGCACGCTGAATGGAGAGACAGACAGAGGTACAGAGGCAGACCGTCTGTGGCAGTTGTTTACTTGTGCATCGTTTTGTATTTGCGTTAGCGTAGTATCCCTCGTTGCAGACCGAGGCGCATTGGATTTTGATGGGGTCGAAATACATGGCGGTGGCGGGACACGCTGCACATGGGTGGACAGATGGACAGATGGACAGAGAGATGACGTATTATATAGGATCGTAGGAATGAGTGCCGCGTCTCTCTCTACAGACAGACAGACAGACAGACAGACAGACATGGCCGGGTGGCCTTGATCTTGTACGAGACCTGATGACCATATCATGATCAGGCAAACATTCACACACACAGGCAGAAGGGTGGGATGTCTCTTTGCTCTGCATCGTCTTTGCTTATTTCCCCTCCCTCCCTCAGTGGCTCACCCCATGGTTGCCGTCCGCTGATTTGACGATGACTTCAAATTCCCTCGTGCCGCCCACGTCTATCAGCTCATCCAACGCACTCGCTGACCGACGGCATACGTACAAACAGAAAGCAAATGACAAAGACCCAATTGCGCAAACGGACACGTTCGTTTGCTTACGGAGGTGCTGTGACTCCCCAATTGGCACATCCAGAAGAGCTCTCGAATCCTCTGCAGACAAGAGAGAAGGGATGATGTTTGTCTGACACCGTGGGATCTACCTTACCCACCGCGTCTCAGCTCCCTCCTGCGGCCGATCGACTCCTGACCTGCAGAAAGGCATGAAGGCATTTGAGAGTTCCCAGCAAGCCAGCGGCAGCTTAAGGTCCGGCATTCGCCTCCCTGACCTCCTCTCAGAGCGACCCGCTGGCCGTTGTCAAGGGGGACATACACGACGCTCACTGTGTCGCTCGTCAGCGGCACCGAAACAGAGTAGGAAGGCACGTCAGCCTCGTACGGTGGGTCCAGAGAGGCGCCATCCACACTCAAGGCAGCCAGAGCGGTCTCCTTGCCATCTGCAGACAGACAGCAAAGACAGACAGACAACACGCAAACCCAATGCCCTGCGAGCCCTTCGCTGTGTACGTACCTCTTCTCGTGACTGTGATGGTTGCGGTGGCCGATGTGCCGGTCTTGATCACAGTGGGCCCCGCAGTAGCGCCGGCATCGAGCTGCTGAGGCCCGCCCGGCAGGCCACTGATCTTGCAACCTGCGGGCGCATCGCTGACGGAAGGAAGCCAATCAAGAGCAACACCAACACAACAAAGTTCGAATTGAACCGTGTCGGTCCCGTGTATCCTGTCCATCCATCCATCCATCCATTCATTGAATAGCTCTTACGCTTCGATGGTGTAGTGTGTCATTGCATAGTCCATCATTGCGGTGGCCTCCAGCGCCGAAGGGTCTTGGCGCGTGATCTTGACGTCAATGGGCATGTCGCCGCTCCTCACGCGCAGCCCACTGATGGTACACTCCGCTGCTACAGCCTCGTGCGCCATCAAGAAGGCCGCAGAGAGGAAAAGTAGCGCCATCCGCTGGTTTGTCAATGCGCTACAGAGCGTCATGATGCCCGAGCGCCTCGGAGCGTGGTCGGCTCCTTTCCTTGGCGAGTTTTGGCAAAATCGCCGAGGAAGCTCGCAATTCAGCTAAGCTTGCAGATCTGCGGAGGAAGATCACGAGGAAGATGATGAACAAGATCACGAGCAAGATGGAAGCCATCTGGTGGATCCTCATGCTTCTGGGAAGTTTGTCGTGTTTCCGATGGATGCCGTCGGATAGTGACGCCTGCCTTCTTCTGTGGTTGTTCTGACCTGACCGATGCCCGGCACTCATCAGCCGCGTCAGTCAGGTGCGTGTGAGGCGAGCCGCACCCATGGAGAGGAGAGGCTGTGGTCTCCACATGGATGAGTTGATATACGTCGATGTGGTCAGGTTCATCGTCGCGGGCGAAGGCTCCTCCTCCCGTTGTGGCGCCGTCGGCCTCCCATCATGTGCCGCAGCAGGTGCTGGACAGCTTAACATACCCGGTGAAGGAGCAGCATGAGGCGGATCCAACAACACAGGCCGACCCCGCACAACAGTGAGGAGGGAGGAAGGGCTACACACGCAGATGGATGGGTGGATGGATGTGGCTGTGTTGCCTGTGTGTGTGTCCGTTCTGTGCATGATGTCAGGTTGTCGACAGTGGAGGTGTTCAGTCGTCACTGGTGGCACGAGATATGTTACTGGCTGCTGACGATATGCACCTGTGGGGGGTTCGCCATCGTCATGCGGTGGTTCCCCCTCACAGCCTTCTTCTTCCGCTTCAAACCCGCACCGCTGCGCCACGCACGCAAATTCGTTGTCACCACCAAGAACGACGAGCAGCAGTAACGACGCACACGAGAGAGAGAGAGAGAGAGAGAGGGAGGGAGAGGGATGAATGGACGCGCCTCTCTTTATCCGCTGGTGAGTGATGGCTTGCCTGCCTGCTTGCTTATTGTGTGCGTGTCAGTATTGTGGACGCTGTGCGGCTGCAGCTGAGCGATGACGTGTCTGCCGGATGGCCACTAGGTCAGCCACACATCCACACCACACACACGCAGAGAGAGCCCACCAGATCAAGCCGCTGCTCTCTGCTTTCCCATTCGTTGTGCAGATGCCCGGTCGTTCCGCAAGGCCAGCACCGTCAGCCCTCCCTCTGAGGCGTCTGAAGATGTGCCCGGTGCCGACCTGACAAGAGTGGACAAGGGCAAGGAGAAAGACAAGGAGAAAGGCAAGGAGAAGGAGACCCGCGGGCTGCTGGGCGCCTTGGCATCGTTCCACAGCTCCCACACCGACACGGCTGTGCTGACGACTGCAGCAGACCGGTCTGCGCGGCCGGAGCTGGTGACGTACATGTTCCGCTTCAGGTGCATCAGATATGCCCTCAACCTCAGGTGAGGGAGGCATGGAGAGAGAGACGGGGGAGAGAGAGAGGGGGTCAGAGAGGGGGGGATCGTGTGGTGTGTGTCTGGTTTTAGCACTGGTCGGTTCGAGGAGGTGTACTTCGAGACGTGTTGGCCTCCCACATTCATCCACAACAGATTCGGGGACGGTATCGAAAGCGACGAGATCGTCAAGGTACGCAGGGAAAGACCGACACGCACACACACTGAGAGATTGCATATGTTGATCTCAGCAACGGCGTGCTCTGTTTGGTGAGTGTGTGGTGGACGTGCCGATTCCCTCTGTGTTTGAGCTGCTGGTGGACGAGATCCTGACGCCCTTTTACCTTTTCCAAATATTCTCTGTCATCATCTGGGTCACCGACGAATACGTACAGGTGAGAATGAGTACAGCCTTCCCCATGACAACAAAGGCCACACACCATTGGCTTGTCTTTTGTGTTTTGTGTTTGTGTGGCGGACGTATCTCAGTATGCGATAGCGATTGCCATCCTGACGATTGTGTCGACCGTGTTAGAGCTCACCGAGACCAGGCGCAACTACGCCAACCTCCGCAAGATTGGCCACCACAACTTCACCGTCAACGCATTCAGAGGACCGATACGCGACAACCACACACACCAAAAGCGGCCCCTCCTGGTGCGCAGCCCTCTGCACACGGAAGGAGAGGCAGGCAACGCCCCTCTTGTGTGCTGTGATGTGCTGTGCTGGCTGCAGGATCGTCAGGTGGAGATAACGACCCAGCAGCTGGTGCCTGGGGATCTGTTCGAGGTTGTTGGTGGCATGACACTGCCGTGCGACGCCATTCTGCTGACCGGATCGGTAGAGGCACCGACACACGACATGTGGCCCTTGTGGATGACGTCTGTCTGCATGTGTCTGTATGTGTGTGTGTCAGTGTCTGATAAACGAGTCGATGCTAACGGGCGAGTCGGTGCCGGTGATGAAGCACTATCTGCCCTTCGCAGAGGGAGCCAACCGGGAAGACAGATTCAAAATCGAACAGGTGACATCAACCATTCACACACGCAACTCTCGCTGATAGTGTCTTCCGTCCGTCGTCCTCTCTCCTCGTCAGGATCGCAAGTGCACCTTGTACGCCGGCACCAAGGTCATCCAGACGCGCTTCTTCGGCCGCGACAAGGTGGTGGCTGTGGTGGCCCGCACCGGCTTCAGCACCACCCAGGGCCGCATTATGAGGAGCCTCCTCTACCCAAGACCCACCCGCTTCAACTTCACGGAAGAGTCGTTCAAGTTTGTAGCCGTGCTGGGGTGTGCGGCTCTGGTCGGATCGGGCATCACACTGTACCTGTCGTTGAAGCAGCAGCTGGCCGTCAAGGAGGTGGTCATCCGGTGCCTCGACCTGTTCACTGACGCCGTCCCGCCCGCACTCCCCGCCGCCATGACCATTGGCACCGAATTCGCTCTGTCTAGGTGAGCACACCAAGCATATGTCACTGCCTGCACCAACCATCTGTGTGTGGTGGTGTGTTGTTGGTTTATGGATCGATAAGGTTGAAGCGGACCCGCGTGACGTGCATCAGCCCGACTCGTGTGAATGTCAGCGGGCAGATCTGCGTGTTGGCCTTCGACAAGACGGGCACGCTCACCGAGGAGGGGCTGGACTTCGTCGGCTGCATCCCCTCCGTCCTCTCAACCACTCACACGCCCACAGCTGCCCAGACACACCAGCCACAGCAGCACCACCTCGCCGTCCCGTCAGCATCAGCCCACTCGTCAAGCGCCGGCAAAGACAGCGACGAGTCGCCCGCATCGTCCGACGCCAATGCCACAGCTCTTGCGCTCAAGGGAATCAACCGCACACACCAATCCCGCGGGACGCCCACAGCCCCCCGTGCGTCATCAGCGAGAGCCCCAGCCCCCCCACCGGCCACCCTCACAGAGCTCTCGCACGACATGGCGTGTTTGCCGCCGCCTCTGCTGCATGCCCTTGCGACGTGCCACTCCCTGACCATGATCGAGGGGGTCGTGACGGGCGACCCCATCGACCTGCTCATGTTCAACGCCACGGGATGGGAGCTGGAGGAACCTGAGGCGGACAACACGGGTGTGTATGACGCCATACCGGCCATAGTGCGGCCGAAGGGCGGGCCGTCGCTCAAGGAGGTCGGAAAGCACAGTGCAGGGCAGGGCAGGGCAGACACGTAGAGGTCGACTTTGATGGATGTTGGTTTGTGTTTGTGGTCGCTGTGGTGTGGTGGTTGCAGGCGTTGGCGGCGAGCGGTGCATCTGATGATGAGTTGCTGGGTGGGCTGCTGGGGGACGACGCCGCGGGGCAGATGCCCATCGAGCTGGGGATACTCAGGAGGTGAGGGACGGAAAGACAGACAGACAGACAGACAGAGAGAAGGGCCTCAGTCACACACGCTTCACACACTGTCTTGTTTGTTGTCCTCCGTCAGGTTTGACTTCTCGTCGGCATTGCAGCGGATGTCGGTCATCGTCAAACACCCACTCGCCAGTGAAATGATGGTACGCCGACTCACAAGCGGGCTGTGTGCCTTCACCAATACATGCATCCTTCTATCCATCTGTCCCCCCCCTCATCCATCCATCAGATCTTCTGCAAGGGCTCGCCCGAGAAGATCTCTGAGTTGTGTGCGCCCTGGACGGTGCCACTCAACTTCGAGGACGTCGTCCACACATACACCAAAAGGGGAATGAGGTGCACAGACAGACAGAGGATGGGCTGAAGGTTGGTTGACATTGTCTGTTTCCTCCCTCCCTCGTCTGTGTGGGTGCAGGGTGCTGGCGATAGGCGGCAGGACAGTCCGGGGCCTCTCCTACATGCAGAGCCAAGTGCTCGCCAGACACCAGGTGCGGCGCGCTGCGCACCCTACACACAACACAATTCACACACACCACACCCGACACATCACTCACCCTGTCCGTGTGTGTCTCCCACCCAGGTGGAGACGGGGTTGTGTTTCCTGGGTCTGTTGGTGTTTGCCAACAAGCTCAAGGAGGACACTTTGGCCGTCATGCAGGAGCTGCGCAAGGCCAACTGCCACTGTCTCATGGCTACCGGAGACAACCCACTCACAGCCGTCGCTGTCGCCAGAGAGTGCGGCCTCATCGACAGGTGCACCCACACACCACACCACATGACCATGCCACCCAAAGACCATTCCTTCCTTCGTCCTCTGATTACAGGCGCACCACTCACGTCATAATGGGCGATGTCTTCATCCCAAAGGAGGAGTCGCGCGGCACTGTCGGCCAGAAGCAGACCCTCCTGTGGACCAAGGTGGAGCACATCCACCACACCGACCCGCACCCATCCCGGCGCCCATCAGCAGCACCACCATCTCGCAACCCCCTTCCCACACACGCGGAGGAGGAGGCTGAAGGCGACAGTCCCGCCAACGGGACGGTGCCGGTCAGCACCCACTCGTCGGTCATCGACAAGACGGCAGCAGGCACCAACTGTGACACCCAAGACGGCACTCCCGTCACCCCCAAGAGGCCTGCGATGAGGGCCAAGCCGACGGACTCGGCCGGCCACCGGTCGCCGAGGCACAAGGACGGGCACTCTGCTGCTGGAAGGCACACGGTGTCGCTCAACATTGTGGACCTTCTCAAGGGAGAGGACCCAAGGTCAGCCAACCACGGAGGAAAGTCTCTGCCCATCTCTCTCTCACTCTCCCTCCCTCACTGTGTCGGTGTGATTGCGTGGTTGACAGAGAGTTCACAGTGGTGATAACGGGCCGCGCCTTTCGTCACCTCAAGTACCACCACGAGACGGAGGTCGGCACATGGTGGCCGCGCCCGCCACCCGACCCCCCAGACGCACCACCCACAACGGCACACGCCCACGGCATCACACCAATGGCGGAACAGCAGGCCATTCTCCGGGCGCGCACTCTCTCGGCATCCGCTGTCTCGCCCTCGCCCGCCACGCACCCCCACAGAGGCCCAGGCCCATCCCTCCAGGCGGCCGCGGCCAACTCGGCCCCATCCTTTGCATCCGACAGCCACCACATTGCTCAGCACCATGCCTTTCGCACGCCCCCCACAGCCTCCCCCCTGCACCTCTCTCATCCGCAGCCCACGGTGCTCCCCCTGCCACCGCCCCTGGACCCTGACGTCAGCACAGCCACTTTCCCATCCAAGGTGCGGCCGGCGAAGCGCAAGCGCGTCAAGAGGAAGAGCGGTCTCTTTGGCGGACGGCGGCGGTCGCAGACGATTGCCTTGGGCCATCCTCCTGAAAGGCAGGCCACCGAGATGAGTACACAGTCGCCCATCGGCGTGAGGAGGAAAGGCGAGCCCGCTGCCGCTGCGGTGACACACAAGTCGTCTGGCCCCGGGCCGGTCCACGGCCTGTCCAACGTGCAGCCGCCCGAGTACGGACCTTTCCTCTACTTCCGAGTTCGGAGGCCGCCAAAGGCACGATCACGTGGGAGGCGGACGAGCCATGTTGCAGGAGGAACGTCTGGTGGTGGGCAGCAAGGCGACTCGCGAGACAGGGAGGCCAGGGGGGCGTGCGAGAGTGCCGCCGATGGCGCCCTTGCCGTCAGGTTTATCGATGGCTACGTGGACGGGGTGCACCAGGTCGCCAAGTCGGCCGAACAGGACCTTCAAAGACCACTTCTGAAGGTACGTGGACAGGTTTGATGTTCGTTCGTGTGGATGGGTATGGCTTCTTGTCTTCTCGCTGTGTTGTTTGATCGCAGAGTGACGCGCTCAGCGACGCTCTGCAGACCCATTGTGCCCTGCCAGCGACGCCCACGATCGCCACCCACCACAACGGCCACCCCGACGAGGAGGCCCCAGCCGTCCTCTCGCCCATTGCCGTGCATACCGACCCACCGGCACCAGCCGCACACCAGCACTCGCCAGCCGAGGACACCTTCCTGAGGATGGACACGCAGACTGACAGACTGGGGGAGCATTCGGGCGGGGTCAGTGCTGATGGTGAGGAGTGGTATGAGATCCCGCTGTTCGAGTATGTGCTGCGCAACTCGACCGTCTTCGCCAGGTGGACGGGGGGTGGGTGGCAAGGTAGATTAGAGAGGGAGGGGGGGACAACGGCATGGATTGATGCCGTGTGTGGATGCGATGTGCCTGTGTGTGTGTGCAGGATGTCGCCCGACGACAAGGAGCAGTTGGTGTATTCGCTGCAGAGTCTGCCCCACCACCCCCTCGTCGCCATGTGCGGCGACGGAGCCAACGACTGCGCCGCTCTTAAGGGAGCCGACATCGGGGTGAGCGGGTCAGTCACGACAACACGGAATGGACGGATGGATGGATGGACACCGGTCGGTCATGCCCATCCTGTGTTGTGTTGTGTTGTGTTGGTGTTGTGCTGTGTGTGTGGTTCATTCAGGTTGCGCTGAGCGACGAGGAGGCGTCGATTGCCGCGCCATTCACATCTGCCGGCAAGACCATCAGATCGGTCGTCGACGTGCTCAAGGAAGGTGAGCGGGTCAGGGAGAGAGGGAGGGAGGGAGGGTGCAGACAAGTGTTTGTATCGTGACACAGCCAGCACATTCCATTCCACGTGTGTATTGATACGTGTGTGTGCAGGTCGTGCGGCGTTGGTGAACTCTTACCAGAACTTCAAGTTCATCGTGCTTTACTCGTTCATCCAGTTCAGCTCGGTCATCATCGTCTACTACTACCAAGACGACCTCACAGACTCACAGGTAGACAGAGACAGACACAAGCGACTGCACTGCATTCCATCCATCCACGTGTGGTATGCTGATGTGCATTAGTTTCTGTATGTGGACTTGATAACGATTCTGCCGCTGATCTGTCTGATGTCCCGCACCGGCACGAGCGGCGACCTGCCGCACAGCCTGCCCCCCGGCAGCCTCGTCTCGCCACCCATCATGACTTCCGTCATCGGACAGGTACTTAGGAAGCGGCCAGGGGAGGGGAGGGTGGCAGATAGATACACACACGGCCTGGCCAGGCCTGGCCTGCCGACACGTGCGTTCGTTCATTGTGTATGGTGTGTGTGTGATGCACATGTTTCACATGCTGCACTGCACAGGGTGTGATCCAGCTGTGTTTCATGCTGGTCGCCACGGCCATGCTTGTCAACCAGCCCTGGTTCCCCACGCAATTCAGAGGTACGTCGATGCTCTGCTGGCTTATGTGTGCGTGTTGTGTTGCCTTGCCATGACGTGTGCTGTATGTCTGTGTGTGCTTTATGTGTGTGTCAGCTGAGGAGGGGAATGGCAAGCACGGTGCGGTTGACACGGTGATATTCTCGATCACCAACCTCCAGTTCATCTACGTCGTCATCGCTCTCTCACACGGACACCCATGGAGGAAAGGTAAGGTGCACAGACAGACAGCAGAATACGCCAACACGCTCGTCACCATGCCACACAGACAGACCATTTCCTTCCGTCTGGTTGCCTGTCTGTCTGTCTGTTGGTCTGGCCCCCCAGGCTTTGTGACGAATCTGCCTTACACGGTGGCCATCGTGGTGCTGCTGTGTCTGGGGGTCAGCTACATCCTCCTGCCAGGCCCCGCCCTCAGCGCCTTCAGCATTTCTCGATGGCTCAAGCTGCGCCCCCTGCCCTACGGCTTCCGGTGTCAGCTGGCCGTCCTGTCCTTGGCCAACTTCTGCGTGACGGCCCTATACGAGCGGCTGTTGATTTCGGTCATCAGCCGGCACACCGACATGCGGCGGCGGGCTGTGGAGAAGATGAGCAACCCGCTGCCATCGGACCCTTCATCGAAAGTGACCGTGGCCAGCCCTTCATAGTCAAAGTGAAGTGTGTGACGGGGTGGGCCTGTCTGTTTGTCTCTCTGCCTGCCTGCCTGCCTGCTCGTGTCTGTTTGCCTGAGTCTTGTGTTTGTTGTGTGTGGGCGGGGACACCACATTAGCTGTGATGCATACATACACCGAAGGGGGCAGCAGCTGCTGTGTGAGCACACGGTGTGTGCGTGACGTGAGTGTGACTTCCGTCCGTCAGGGGACGGAGCTCAGCTGTCTATGATGTGACTGCTGACTTGGCTTGGGGAGACAATCGAATCAGCTTTCATCGACCACACACACATGAATGAGTCCACTCACTCACTCACTGTACAAGACCGAAAAACCGGCCCAGGACGCATCGCATCAGATACCCCCATAAAGATCCATCCGTCCATCCATCCCATCACTCGCTGCTCGCCCCTGTGTGTCCTTGCAGAGCGACGCAAGCAAGATGTCCATCCATCCACGACGGCAGGCAGGCTACATGAGCTTCAGGTGACCCGACACCTCATCGATCAGACCAGCAGGCCCTGAACACACCACACCACACCACACCAGACAACACACACACAACAGCGAATGCACACCGCACACACAGTCCGCCTGCCTGTCTGACTGACTGACCTGGTCCGAGCGCCAGGACCGTCCTCGAGCCCTCTGCTATCTGCGTCCGACCCTGCAGACAGACACACGGAACAAGGAGGCAGACAAGTATGGACGACTGACTGACTGACGCCAACACAGCACTCCACCCAGCCGCCCGCCCACAGAACAACCATTGCTCACTCACCGCGTCACACACAGTACTGATCGATCGCACACACCGCAACAATCAAACGGCACGAGAAAAGGCAGTGAGCACACACAATCCTGTCTGTAGTTTCTCCACTGCCTACTCACTCACTCACTACTCACTGTGTCTGGACTCCTTTTGCGTTAGCCGTCGTCCTGAGCTGGTCCAGCTCCTCTTCATCGTTTGCCTTGAGGCATATCTTGGGCTGCCCGTTGTCCTCCCACGACTCCAGGTAGGGCGAGTTGGTCCGCAACGCCTTCTTGTACGCACCCAACGTCGCGTGCCCGCACTGCGCACCGATCTTGCCCTTACCCATGCCCAAGTCTGACAGAACAGCGGCAGCAATTAAGGGAGAAGAAGATCACCATACATGTGCTCGGCTGCCTGCCTGTGTTGCTGTGTTGCGTGCGATAGATGCGATGGCTGCAGTCAGTGCTGCGTACGTACCGTTTCGCACAATGAGTACCAGTTTGCACTCATGCTCGTCGTCATCGGCATCGTCGTTCTTCTTCCTCCTACCCTGCCGGCTCCTGTCTGCTGCCGCCGGTGCTGCCTTGGAGGCCTTCTTGGCCACGGGGGCAGCCACCTGCTTGCCTCCGAATATCCTCTGGGCGAGTCGCCACATCAGCAGCAGCAAGATCAGACCGAATGATGCGATGACGACATGAAAGTAGTCGAAACTCGCTGCCATTCTCGCGCATCCACATCAGTTCGGGGAAGGCTGTGCGAGCTCGACTTGGGGGCGGCGGGGGCCTCAGGGAGAGACTGCGACGGTGTGTGCCGCAGGAGGGGGAAGATGAGCGAGGCGGAGCTTCAGAAGGCAATTGCGGTCATTCCCAGCAGGTTTTACTGGCTTGAAGTCGCCAGGCAGCCTCGCCAACTCGTGACACCAAGTGCTGTGTACTTCTCGATCGACCAGGTGAGCAGCCAGGGGGGGGCACCAGCAGGCCAGGAGATAGCCACGATTGCAGCAGCCCCTCTGACCAACACGTCGAGGAAAAGCCTAGCTGTTTTGTGTGTCCCCCACTTCATGTGTGCTGTGCTTGGGTGTGTTGTGGGAACTGACTTGCCTGCAGGAGTTCCTGTATGAGCCCTTCTTTGCGGACTTCGGGCCTCTCAACCTTGGGATGGTCTACCGCTACTGCAGACTGCTGGAGTTGTACCTGCAGGAACACGTAAGTCATGAGTGAGTGGCTGCCAAGGAGCAAGCTTCAGGGGCGCCGCCCTTGGGGATGTCTGCGTCGCCATGTATGTATGTATCCCTCTCTGGCTGTGCAGTGTGAGAAGAGCCGCAAAGTGCTGGTGCACTTCACCAACATGGAAGACCCGGCCAAAAGGGCCAACTCGGTCTTCCTTGTTGGCGCCGCCCAGATCATTCTCTTCCAGAAGACAGCTGACGAGGCCTGGAGGCCCTTCCAAGGTGCGAGCGACCCCTAGAGCACCACGCATCGGTCGACTGACTGGGTGGCGCGTGTGTTAGCTGCAGGTTTGAGTCCCCCGTTGGTGCCCTACCGCGACGCAACATACGGCGTCTGCACATACCAATGCACTGTCAGTGAGTCCGTCAGCACCAGGAGAGTACCCGAGTGTCTATGGGCTCTGTTGTGTTGTGTTGTCTTCTCTTGTGACCTTCAGGTTCTGGACTGTTTGAGGGGTCTTGAAAAGGGCATTGAATTGGGATGGTTCAACTATGACACCTTCGACCTCCCGGAATATGAGTACTATGAGAGGGTGGAAAATGGTATGTAGCACTCACTTTACCACACAGCACACACACGCATCCATCGCGACGGTGCCTCTGTGTGTCTGGGTGCATGTATCTGTGCGTGTATCTGTGGTGTCAGGTGACATCAACTGGATACTGCCCGGCAAGTTCCTGGCCTTCTCGGGTCCGCAGTCTGACACCAGTGTGGAGAATGCCATGGGGTTTCGGTATTTCGTGCCGGAGGACTACGTCAAGGTGTTTAAACGTCTCAAGGTGGCCTGCGTCATACGACTCAACAAGAAACAATACGACAGAAGGGTTGGCCTCACACACACACACACACACAGAGGGAGGGAGAGAGAGAGAGAGAGAGAGACGGTGTCTGCGGTCGGTGTCTCACTCAGACCTTTCTGGAGGCGGGCACCAGCCACCATGACCTCTACTTTCTCGATGGCAGCTGCCCCTCAAGGGTACACACGCACACAGAGGGAGACAGACCCAAGCTGCCTCATGCCTTCTCTCTCCTCTCCTCAATGAATGCATCCCTCCATGGCCATCCGGGATGGATGGATGTGCAGGAGATAATTCATCAGTTTCTGCACATAAGCGAGAACGAGCCAGGTGCGATAGCGGTGCACTGCAAGGCGGGACTCGGCCGCACCGGCACTCTCATCGGGTGCTACGCCATGAAACACTACAGGTGCGTGGGTGGACACATCACATCCGACGGACGGACAGACAGCATGTGATTCAATGGACTCATCCATTCACTCAGGTTCCCCGCGGCGGCCTTCATTGGGTGGGCCCGCATCTGCCGGCCCGGAAGTGTCCTGGGACCACAACAACACTTCCTGCGGGTAGGGAGGGAGGGACGGACGGACCACTGCGAAATAAATATGTGGGTGGGGAGGTTGCAAACTCAAACAAAGACATGGGAGCTCGGCTGGGCTGTGTATGCAGGAGATCGAGCCACAGATGTTCCGGCTGGGCGCCGCGCAAATGAGAATACCGTAGGCAGGGCAGGCTGACAGGCACACAAACCACCCCCCTTGAACAGACAGACGGATGCATATTTGGGTCATGTGCGTTGGCCTTTTGTGTGTGTGATGGTTGGTGCCTGTCTGTCTGTCAGCATCGCCCCGGGCCAGCCCATGTCAGAGGGACTCCCCGAGATCGACTCCCCCATCGATGTACGTACGACACGGGGGAGGGAGGGACAGAGAGAGCCAGCATTCCGGCCGGCATCGTGTGCGTATCTGTGTGCACTGTTGGCTGTCTGTCTGGTTGCAGGGTGAAGAGTCTGATTCGGCCGGCCGTCATTCCGAGCTGGGGTCCCTCTCACCCATCGGTCAGCACGGCGATGCCGGACAGGGCGAATTCCTCCTCAGCACCAAACGAAGGTACACACTGGGCGACAGACACACGATCAGTGCACACACATTACTTACAGAGAGACCAGCCCAGCCCAGCAGACAAGAGACACACCACCCCCCTCTCTCTGTCTCTCTGTCTCTGTGTGGTGTTGTCCGTGCCCTGTGTGTAGGCACCAGTCGGCCAGTTCCTCGATGGGCGGCGCCACCAGCAGCACCATGCCCACCGAGAGCCCCGGCAGCAGCAGCAGCGCCTCTGCCTACTCGCCCGCCCACGCACTGCACGCAGTGGCGCTGGCCAACCAGGTGGGGGAGCTGGACAAGGTCATGTCGGAGGCGGACGTGTCGCCAGCTGTCAGAGGACCCACGGCAGCACTCAACGCTCGGAGATCATGCTGACGCGAGCCTTGGTGGATGGATGGATGGACGGACTGGAAAGAACTCTTCCCTTGCTTTCTGTTGGTATGTGTGTACCTACCTACCTTTGCATGCGTCTTTGTAGCGAGGGTGCGTTGCCTGTAGGGAGGGGAGGGGAGTGGGGGAGTGGGGGAGTGAGGGAAGGGGATTGTTGGCTGGTGGATGCGTACGCAACCAAGTAGGTAGGGTGGTGCCCGTGTGCATGTGCATGTGCATGTGCATGTGTGTGTGTATGCGTCGATGTCTGTCTGTACCCATTCTTTCTTCATGTGCGGATCTTACTGACGTGCATGACCTAACGACCAACTAAGGTAAGGTGAGAGGGTGACTGCGCATCTTGTAGGCCTACAACAAGATTGTTGCGTGACACTCGGGCGGGATAAACTGACTGTCGATGCATGAATCATTCATTCAATAAGCCAGGCAGGCACGCAGGCGAGCACGCATTCGTCCGTCCGATCTCACACACATGCAGTCAGTCACGGAGGGTCTCAGGCGAACAGGCATGCCATGCCAACGTAATGAGCATCAGTCATGCATCCGCCCACACCAAAACGGCAGACATATAGCCGCCTGACAGCAACTCGATGCATCAATTCGGGCGGCCGGTGTGCCGTGCCGTGCCGTGCCAAACCATCCATCAGTCAGTCAGTCCTTGAAGCGGGCAGAGGGGCGACACACGCACCCCCACACACACACCCATGCCAGCCAGCCAGCCAGTCACAAAAAGAAAGCTCGATCGGTCAGTCGGTCGGTCGGTCGAGTGTCTTCAACACTGCATGCACAAAGCCATCCAGCCAGCCAGCCATCCATCACTTCATCCTTCCTGGAACTGTCCACCCACCCGCGCATCCCGCCTGCCTCGCACTCCCTCCCTCCCTCCCCGTCCCTGGTGAGCAAACAAACGATAGAGATAGAGATAGATAGATGTACCACCACGCCGCGCCACATCCACGCATCCATGCATGCAGTCAGGGAGGGAGGGCTAGCTATCATACACCACACAACACCACACCACACACGGGGAGTCAGTCAGTCAGTGGTGCAGCCGTAGTACTACACCCACAGTCGCCAGGCAGGCAGCAAGGGAGGCACGATAGATGAGATGATAACAAGGGCCGGCCGCCCTCGTCATTCGTCCATTAGTGTCTTGTTCGGTCGGCTCGGGTGGGTGTGTCATCAGCGATAGCCCCCGCCTCCCCCTCCGCCCACTTGCTGCACCATGGCGTCTATCACGTCACCGTCCTCCAAACCTGAAACACACACACACGTGTCGCCAACACCAACACAGCCAGAAACATGCCGTGAGACACCACGCACACCCCACACCACCCACGTCATGCGCCGCCCTCCTCCTCTACACCCCTCCCTGTCTGTCTGCCCTCTCTGTGCAGGTCTGTCTGTCTGTCTGTCTGTCTGTCACCGAGCTCCTCAGGCGTCTGGTGTGGGTGGACCCGCTCGCCGTCGAAGAGGAACCGGACGCCCTCCTGCGACTGGCCCAGCCGGTTGCAGTAGGCGTTCATGAGCTTCTCCAACTTGGTCGAACGCTTGATCTTAAAGAACACCTCCTGGCCGTCCTGCAACGCCACACACAACATCCACACAACACACAACACAGCACAAACACCCGCGTTAGTCCCCCCTCCCCCCTCCCGCTCCTCTTTCTGCGGCACGACGCGAGGCGTCTCAGCTGCCGTCTGCTCTGTCCGTCTGTCCTTTGTGTGCCCTCGTCCGCGGCTTACCGGTGACTTGACCTTAAGGTTCAGGTGTTCGGTGCCGCCGGCCGCCCCCTCCCCTCCGTTGCCCTGCTCGTCCGCCATCACTCCGCTGTAGCTATCAACTCAAGGTGGTTACCAGCCGATACGGCAATCCAAACACTACACTGAGGCGTATCCTAGGACCCCGAGGCTTCAAAAGCTGCCCTTTCCAGCCTTCGATCCACCACAATTGCGAGCTTTGACTTTGCATGTTGTTGAGCCTGTTGACCGTGTCTATCGCTAGAGGTGCTGGTGCCTTTGGTGGCTGCTTCATCCCTTCAGCGCGTTGGCCCCTTTTCCCTATTCGCCACTCATCTTTATCAGGCGCTGGTGTGGTGTCGATGAGCAGCGGCAAGGAGGGCAAGCGCAAGAACGAGCCCTCGGCGGCGGCTGCCTCGTCTGCAGCCGGCGGCGGCGAGGCATTCAAGCGCGCCCGTCCGGAGGACGTCAAGTTTGAGGTGAGGGTGCGTCAGTGACAATCACACCACCCACCCAGACACACTTGCATGGGCCTTGCTTGCCTGTGTGATGCATCGGCGTGTGCAGGAGAAGAGGTGCCGCGAGTTGAATGAGGTGAAGGTGTCGAGTGCGGGTGACGGTGCGGTGCTCTACTGGATGTCCAGGGACCAACGAGTGCAGGTAGACGTGATACCTGGGAGGGACTCAATGCATTACCAGGCAGACAGGGGGAAGGCCGGAGGGCGGGAGGGAGGGAGGGAGATCTGTGCACTGACCGACACATTGCAATCTGTGTGTGTGTGTGTGTGCTCGTGCAGGACAACTGGGCGTTGATCAAGGCGCAGCGGCTGGCGATTGAGCGCAACACAGCGCTCTATGTGAGCTTCTGCCTGGTACCCAGGTTCCTCGAGGCCGCCTATCGCCAATACGCATTCATGGTCAGCCAGAGCCGGGAACCCCTCACTGCCACCCTCACACTCCATCCCTACTGTGTATGGGTGTGTGCGTGTGTGTGGGTCAGATTAAGGGTCTGAAGGAGGTAGAGAGTGAGTTGCGGGACCTGAACATTCCCTTCCATCTGCTCATCGGCTTCGCCAAGGACGCCCTGCCCCCGTTCATCCAGCAGCACCGCATCTCCGTTGTCGTCACGGACTTCTCGCCCGTCCGGTCAGCACACAACCACGGCACACTAGCCGAGCAAGGAACAACACAGGAAGCCTTTTATGTTCTGTGTTTGTCCTTTCCCCGCCTGCAGTGTGCCGATGCAGTGGTACCGGGATGTGGCTGCGTCGCTGGAGCAGTCGGGTGTGCCGCTGATCCAGGTGGATGCGCACAACGTGGTGCCCCTCTGGGTGACCTCCAGCAAGCAGGAGTACGGCGCACGCACCATCCGGGGCAAAATCCAGGGCGTCCTCAGCCACTACCTCACCCAGTTCCCGGCTGTCAAGGGGCACCCCATCGCACCACCCGAGGGCGCCTTCGCCGAGCCGTTCGACCTGCAGGCCACGCTGGACTCGCTCGAGGTGGGCGCGTGCACGCGGGATGATTGACGACCGGATGGATGTGTTACGCATGTGGTGTGTGGGTGTGTGGGTGTGTGCAGGTAGATCGTGAAGTGGGTGAGGTGGACTGGGCCACTCCGGGCACTTCTGCTGGACTGGCCATGCTAGAGGACTTCTGCAGGTGGGTCACGCAGGAGAAATGTTTGAGGAGGAAGAGCATGCCTGTGTGTGTATGTGTTGTATATTCAGGAATCGTCTCAAGATGTTTGCCGACAGCCGCAACGACCCGACCAAGAACTCCCTGAGCAACCTGTCGCCATGGATACACTTCGGACAGATCTCTGTCCAAAGGTACGACACAGACAGAGACACATGCTGCATTGTTACCCACTGCCCGCTTGTTTGCGGCCTGGCCGTGTGTGTGTGTGCCAACCAGGTGTGTGTTGGATGTGCAGGCGTATGTGCGAGCCAACCCGAGCCCCGCCCTCTCCAAGGGCAAGGAGGCATACGTAGAGGAGGCTGTCGTGCGCAGAGAGGTACACACAGCACAACACAACACAAATGCGGCAACACAATGGCAACCGAGAGACAAGTGTTGACGTGTGTTGTCTTGTGTGTGTGTGTGTGTGTATGGGTCAGTTGTCGGACAATTTCTGCTTCTACAACCCGAACTACGACAGCATAGAGGGTGCAGCGGACTGGGCCAAGCAGAGCCTGGAGCTGCACAAGAAGGACAAACGCGAATACATCTACACGTACGCGCGTCAACCGGAAGCTGGAGGGCGCCATGTCTAACCTGTCCTTTTGTCTGTGTGTGTGTCAGCCGTGATGAGTTTGCTGCGGGCAAGACGCACGACGATTTGTGGAATGCGGCTCAGCTGCAGATGGTGCAGGAGGGCAAAATGCACGGATTCCTGCGCATGTACTGGTGAGCGACCCAAGGACCGACCTGTCATGCAGCGATGGATGGATGGCACTCACACTCGCCGTGTGCGAACCTGATGTATTTCTCTCCCTCTCTCTGGGTGTGTGTGATGCGATGTGATGTGATAGGGCCAAGAAGATCTTGGAGTGGTCCCCCTCCCCCGAGGAGGCGCTGGCCACGGCCATCTACCTCAACGACAAATACGAACTAGACGGACGGTACACACACACACTGCTATCCTTCCATCCATCCTCGTCTGTGTCTCCATTTATTCCGTCTGTCTCTTTGGTCAGTGACCCCAACGGCTACGTTGGCTGCATGTGGAGCATCGCAGGCATTCACGACCAGGTAGGCCAGGCAGGCAGGCCACCACACACTTTCAAATGCAGCACACAGCAGCCCATGGCCCACCTGGCTGTGCTGTGCATGGTTGTGTCTTCTTTTCAGGGTTGGGCAGAGCGTTCGGTGTTCGGCAAGATCCGCTTCATGAACTATGCCGGCTGCCAGAGGAAGTTCAAGGTCGACGACTTCGTCAGAAAGTGAGTAGGGAGACAGCCAGGCACAGACTGCTGACGTGTGATGCCATGTGGTCTGTCTGTGTGTGTGTGTGTGCGTGTGAAGGTATCCAAAGGCGGCTGCCAATGCCCGCGAGGCCAACGCCAAGAAGCCCGGCGCGCTCAACTTCCCGAAAGCCAAATGAGCGTGTGGGAGGGAAGGGCCCCGTAGCTGTCTGTCTGTCTATCCTCGGGTGACGCTGGTTGGGTGCGGTGCAGTGAGATATGCCTGCCTGCCTGCTTGTCTGTTCGCCTTCTCGAAGAGAACGGTGGCGTGCACGTCTGTCTGCCTGTCTGTCTGTCTGTCTGTATCTATGCACTGTACGGTTCTGTCTGGTTCGTGTATGTATGTATGTATTTATTTCTATCGCTGTCGGTTGTATACTGATTTCTGTCCATGAGCCTGAGGAGCCAGCTAGCTACTTGTACAAGGGGCTGACTGTTCGAGTGACTGGTCCATCGGCGCTGTCAGGATCTGATCATATCTCCTTGGTGGATGCAGCGGAATTCGACAATCCAGCGGGCGAATTCTGCGCCATCTGCTGTGGTGATCAGATCAGACCCTGACGGTGCTGTGCGAAGAACAAGGAACGTCTGTTCAATTGGGGACGACGCTGCCCCCAGAGAATCGAATTCTTTCTCCCCTTGGTTCCTTCCCTTCTTTGCGGAATCATATCACGTCACGTCGATGACGGAAGCGTCAGGGAGGGCATCGCGCAACAGGACTGAAGGCTCACAACCGGCCTCCAGACGACAACACGGATCCCCCACACCCAGCCAGGCGGCGTGTGAACGGGTGACTGTGACAAAGAAGGGGAAAGAATTCCAGCGAGCTCTCAGCCGTATGGAGCATCGCCTGTCCAGCAGCCCTTCACCGGGACCCTCTCTCTCCCGAGAGGACAACACACCCGTCCGGGATCCCTCGGCCCCACTCAGCTGTGCGATGGACACGACAACACCCACGCACTCACCCTCTTTGCTGCGGGGGTCCCCCTCGTCCATCGTCACGTCCAAGGGGCGCAGCATGAGCACCACTCGGCTTGTGGGTCTGCAGCAGCTCAAGGCCCAGAAGACCATGGACAGGCTGGAGGACAGGTCCACACAGCTCGAGAAAGAGCAGCTCATGAGGCACCACGCACTGCAGAGGAGGTGTCGACAGCTGGCTGACGAGACACATGAGCTCAGCGCCATTGTGGACCGCGTTGCGTCGTTGCGACTTTTCTCGCTCCAGGTGCTCGAGAGGCAGCACGAGAAGAGGTACGGGAAGTTCTGGGCCCCTTATCAGACCCACAAAGACAACAGGAGACGAGAAGCATATCCTTCTGCAGAGGAGAGCCAGGGCTTGCCGGAAGAGACCCCTCCAATACGGGTACGATGAAATTGGTCCTCAAGGCCTCCATGCCTTGATAGTTTTTCTGTGCGCTGTGTGTGTGCAGCCGGCCGCGCGGCAGGCACCTGAGCCTCTGCAACCCGCCGAGCCCCCTCCGTCTGAAGCCCCCGAACACTACCCATTGCCCGTACTACCTGTGATTATTCGCGAGGGCATCCAGTCCATATGTGGCCACGACGCGTGCCGGGGCATCAGGAACCGGCTCGAGATGCGGCAAGTGAAGGAGGCCAGGGGTGGCGGGTCACCGAGACACAAGAGGAGAAGACCCAAGTCGAGGAAGAAGGCGCGTGTTGTGTTGCCGCCTCTGCCAAAGAGGGCGGTCAGCAGGCGAGAGGGGCTGGAGCAGACGGCTGATGAGACGCCGTCGACGCATCTGTCCGTGTCGGGCCCGGGTGACTGGCTGGTGTCCAAGCGGCTTGATGGTTTTTCGGGTGACGCATCACGGAGGATTGGTGAGTCCCTGGCTACGCTCTCGAGATTGTTCGACTGAGCTTATCAATCGGTGACCGTGCATCATGTATTTACGCATGTTGTATGGAGCAGTGGGTACATCAATGGGGGAGCTGTGGCGCCTTGTCTATCTCATTTGTCCTCTTTTTGCTTTGTCTTGGTCCATACATACGTACATGCGCACGTACGCACGTAGGCCAAAGGGTGCATTTGTTTGTTTGGGACATCTCCTCTGATCTGATCTGATCTGGCCTCAGTCAGTATGGGATTCTTCTTGTATGTATCCGTGTGCATGTCTCATCCATCAATCCATCAATCCATCCGCCAACCAATAACACATGGGTACCGTCACAAAGCACACATCCGTCCACTCCCTCGCTCGCCAACAGACAGATGCATACACATGCACACACACACCAACCACCGGTGTACATTCTGTCTCTCCTTTCTCTCGTCTCTCCCTCCCTTCCTTCGCCTCTGCCGTATTTTTCTATCCCTCGCTGGCTAGTGCGTGAATGTGTGCACGCCAGTCTTCTCAAATTCTGCCTCTCCCTCCCCCACATTTCTTGTGAAGGTGAAGCCCATCCCACTGTCAGGCGAGTCGCCGGGCGACTGCCGGGACTGTGGTGACATTCGGGACTGGGGCGTGAGGCTGACTGAAATGTCGGCGGGCTTGCCCCCAAGGGAGGCATCGGGGAGGTCCAGGAACTGTGCCCGCCTCCCTGTCTGGTCTGGGCTGCGGGACCCGCTGCCGTAGCCGTGCACCTTCTGCTGCCGCTCGTTGTGGGCACGCATGGCCGACGGGCTGATCACAGACAGACAGACAGACAGATGAAGGGTCAGGAAAGCATGAGACAGAAAGGCGATGGAGTAGAGCCGGCGACGGGTGGATGAATTATACTACCTCAGCGCGAATGACAGGCCCACGACGTTGGTGTAGACCTGACTTCGCATGAAGATGTCCGCTGACTCTGCGTGACGTACACATCCACCGCACCACACATGAAATGAGCGCACAAGGAGAGAAGGAGAAGATGTCTGTGTGTGTGCTCATTCCTTACTTGCTTCCGGCAGGTAGATTTCCTTTGCGAGGTCCAGGGACTGGATAATGTCCATCTGCTCATCGGTGGTGGCCTCGTCCTTCTCCAATCTATCGGGGAACCCGCCGTACGTCCGATACCGATTCAACAAATCCTCAAGCGCCTCACGTGCCTCCTTCATCTGCATGAACCCACCAACCAACCAACAGCAATCAATTGCCACACGTATACTCTACCTCTGTGTGTGTGGGAGTCTCCCTGCGTATATGTTCGCATTGTTCACCTCTTCGACTTCCATCCCCTCTGCCTCGTATATGTAGAGGTGTGCCTTAGCCCGGTAGAGTTTGTCCCACGCCTCCCTCATGCGTTCGAGGACCTCCTGGAAGGCCGTGCAGTTGGTTAGGTACGTCACGGACAGGTCGAACTGCTTCTCTGCAGGCGGGACGGTGCAGATGCACGAGCTGAGGCACGTGGGGATCCAGTCGGGGAAGTGGCGGTCGTACACCGTGTTGTGCGGCACCGTGCTCAGCACGTCGTTGATCTCTGATGTGGCCAGACGCTCCTTCTTTCCGCGGAACGCCGCAAATGACGCCAGAAAACGAGACGTCCGCCAGTGCTCCTGCGCAAAACGAGCCAACAACAGGTTCCGGAGTGATTCATCTTTATTTGTATGAGCTGAGCTGGAATGCGTGTGGTCGATTCTGTATGACCTACCTGTGTGTCCACTTTGAGAGGATCGCAGTCGACAACGCAGTTTTCGCTCTGCATCATCTGTTGGGTGAGGTCCAGGATGGAATACTTGCGGTAGGCCGCCTTCTGCATCGATGAGAGGGGGGCAGTGCCTATACCACAGACAGACACGCGAAACATGTGTGCGGGTGAGACATGAGTGCGCCTCCCTCCCCTCCGGTGTGCATACATACATGTGATTAGGAAGTGCGTCTTGGGGAAGGGCACGAGGTTGGTGCACATCTTGCGCAGGTCGGCGTCGAGGATGCCAGGAAACCGCAGGTTGCAGGTGATGCCGCTCATGACGCGGGCCACCAGGTCGTCCATGTGCTGGAAGCGGGGCACGTTGATGTTGAGGGTCCGCTGGCAGATATTGCTCAACGCGTGATTGTCAAAGGCAAACACCTGGCCAGTCAACGCAAACTGACAGACAGATAGACCGTTGGGTGTTTGCTTGCCTGGTCGCAGCACTCAATGAGGTCTTTGAACCCCAGCACAGCGTTGTACGGCTCGACGAGTATGTCCGACGCTAGTTCGCTGGTGAAGAGTGTGAATGTCTGCAGGATGGGCCCGAGGAGGCTCGAGTTCCTGTTGAAGAAGTCCCGCATGGAGTTGAGCATCAGACTCGTCAGACCCGAACCCGTCCCGCCCGCCAGTGAGTGGGCAAACTGCACACCCTGCAGACAGTCGCAACCCTCCACCATGCGACGCACCTTCACACGCACACACACAGATAGAGGCGTGATGCGGCCGTCCTCTCTTGTTTGCTGCCTCACTCCTTCGGTCATTGCGTCGCATATGTCAGGCCCCGATGTGTGGAAGGCCCTGGCGTAGCAGTTGCCGCTGCCCTCGTCAGTGTAAAACATATTCTCTGCACAAAAACACACACACGCGTACCTCTATCCAAGCAGCCGCTCCGCTCACCAGGTCTGTAGAGTCTGCCGAGGTCTGTGGTCATCAGATTGTCAATGAACATCTTGTCAAGGTCAACAAGGATCGACCGAGGCACATACCTTCACACATACAATATGCACCCAACCAACACAACATGACACACCACACCAGTGAGAGGTCCCGTCCGCCGTATGCGCTCTTCCGTCGCTCCCTGTTCCGTGACTTGCCTGCCGCTGCTGGCTTCGTCAAAGAATACGCCCACTTGCTGCAGGCGATATATATCGGCCTCGTTGCCGCAGAATTTGCCGTGGAGCGTCCCAACTGTCTTCTCGAAATTCTGGTAGTAGATGTGGTGCTCCTCTACCAGGTCGCGCCAAAACTCGTGAGAGATGTTGTTGCCTG